ATATATGAAAAGGCAAGTAAAATTTCAAAAAAGAATAGTACTAAATTTTGAACCCTTTGTTTCACAAGTACAGTGCCTTAGTGCTAAGAACCTAAAAAATTGAACCTCTCAGGTTTGTTTCCTGATCGATCTGCCTCTGCTGGCTACATGTCATTCACTTGTTCTGTTCGCCTACAGAAAGAGAAAAAGCAAGAAAAGAACAAGGGTTATCCTCCTAGCATCTAAACTTACATATTGGCAGATTTCGTACTAATTGAACTGATCGTGCTGCACATATTGATTTTGATGGAAACTTAGGGTCCACCAAACTGTATAGAGATCAGTTCCCACAGAACACGCACAATAAGAGATAAGTAAATGATACAATAGAGTTTTACGTGGAAAATTCCCAGCTCACGGGATTAAAAACCACGACCTACACTCGTAGAATTTCAACTTTACTAACCGAGCAACTTCAAATTACAACCTATTGTAACCTAGGAATTAAACTCTTAATCCCTCACTTACTTGTAATAACTCTATTACAAGCCTCTTTGTATTGTAATAACTCTATTACAAAGCTCACAACTCGACTAACTGTAGCCAAGACACAAACACAAGGTTTATGGTTTTACAAATGGTTTCCTACACAATACTTCTAACTAAGCTAAGTAGGAATTACAAGTAGATCACTCTAACAAAAGTACAACACAACTAAGGATATATAATAGCACAGTGCTGGAAACTGGTCCTTCGTTCTGTTATTCTTGGTTCTTGAAGCCTGGAAGTTACTTGCAAGATGGCAACACACTTGTGAGGAAACTAACTCAATTTTCAGATGTGCAAATTTGTGTTTTTCCTTTGCTTCATATTAATAGTATTCAAGTGATGTCACTTGGATGATGCAAGCAAATATCCGGTACAAGGCATTCCCCATAAAGTGACTGCTGCACTGTTGCGTGTGTGCAGAGGAACAGTCGCTGCGACTTTACAGCTGTGGGGAGTTGACTGGTACAGTCAGCAAGGGAACTGATGTCCATATATTCCCTCTGTCGTTTCTTTGACTCTAGTTGTTGTAACTTGTGCCCTACTTGAGACTTGTTGTTCTTGAGCACTTTGAGGATGTGTAACAGGTTCCCGATCTGGTTGTTATCATAAAGTTTGTTAGATCATCAAAACATAAAAAAGCACATAACTTGTCAGATTTCTTTTCTCTTTTTCACTAAAATTTTCATGTAGCAGAAAACTGGCTGAGCTAGGTCTTAATATTTTCTCTCAAAATCTTAGCTTCTTGCTCTATTCACAAAAGGTCTGGTTGCAAGTCATATATTCTCCATTTTGCCACGCAAGTGTAACTTATCTATAAATACCATGTCTATAACAGTGATCGTCAAATGACATCATGGTTATTTGCATTTACTATGGATTATTTGGTAATTGATCTGCACTCTGCTGAACGGCAAGAGACGAAGTTACTTGTATGGTGTTCAAATGTTCTCTTGGAAAGTCAACAAATGTCCATTCCTGTTCTCATGGAGGGATGGACGTGCTGACATTTTTTAGTAATACTTTATCAAGTCAGTTGCCAGCTCATATCTGAAATGGAAACGTGCAGTATACATATACCCGGCTCTGAAGCTTGTGGTTTCTTTGGAAAGCAATTATTGGACTCATCTCCTACTCATCTTATGTTTTTTTCCCCGCATTCTAGTATATTAGGCAGCCTGTATTTTGGGGGATGAGTATGTACTGTCAATTACCACGACCTGTGTAATCTTCAGAGGATGGGTGTTATATTGCACACTGCATGCATCTTGTGATGACTAATGGGGTATCTTAGGCAACTCAGACCAATGTAGATTATCCCTTAACCCTTCCTAGTTTTCAGTCAGGGAAGTCTTGTCATCAGACATTTTAACTATATACTTAGTCAACAGAAGGACTTAGCAGGAGCACAATTGGATGTTTACGGTAAACTGACACCTACAAATAGCCGAAGCACAGAGCCCAAAATACCAAGTCAAAAGGACCGAAAAGCACTGAAAAATGAGAGCAAGAACAGTTCAGTATTCTACACTTTCAGTGTCCTTAATGGTGCGGTGCACGTAAATTTTCCTTCCTTATATGGTCAAATTTTTTTGTTTTATTGTCCATAATTCATTTTAAAAAAAAGACTTCCATACATGCTACAAATCAAGTGTCTGCCTTTTCTTGTAGTATAAGAACCTATGTCTAGACTGCCTTCGGCTATTAATATGCCAATAATTGCTAGCCCAACTGTTGTGTACTATTTAGGCTTTTAGTTAAGGATTGTTATGATTTTTAGTTGCACAGTGAAGCAATATTCTTCAGCTGCACGTCCAGACACATGATATTGTATACTCTTTTGCTTCCTTGCGTTTCTCTTTGTTGTCCAGACTAAAGAGCCTGCCACTAATGTCCATCACACACGTTGAATTGCATTAACATCCTGCATTAACCATATTTGACATGTTATGTTGCATATAATTCTGTGGCGGTCCATGATGCAGTGTATGAGAGGCTGCTTCGAACAAGTGATGACTTTGTGTGGCCTATTGATTCTGCGTTACAAGGTCGATTCATCATTGATGTTGAGTTCCTTGACCTGAAGATCTACTCACCAAATGTGAGTTTCTTGACATTCTACAGTGTGTGTATGCTTAATATGTATGAGATTGCTAATTGAAATGGTTCTTTGATAAAATACCTATCCAGTTGTAACAGATAGGGCTTGTGTTTAGGTGTATATAAATTGACTTCTTTGGTTGTTCCTTTCTGCAGATTTGAACTGAAAAAAATGAAATTTTCCCAATATACCGTTTTACAGAAAATGAAAAAGAATGAAAATTTCTTCTCAGCATTTACCAGAAAACGACCTTGATANATCAGAAAACGACCTTGATGTGTTTTTGAACTCATGTTCCTTCACTTAGTAACCTGTGGTAATTGAAACTTTAGGGTGGAGAAGGCAAATCTATATGGCCCAATGACATTATTTTGCAAGCTTTAGCTACCCAAAGTACTCTCCGGTGTCTCTCTCGTATGCTTGACGAGTCCATCCATGCTGATGTTACCATAAATACCGCTGATGGATCAGTGAAAGCTCACAGGGCGATACTGTCTGCTAGTTCTCCTGTATTCCACAGCATGTTCCTCCACGATCTCAGGGAGAAAGAGTCCTCTATGATCGACATAGAGGACATGTCAACAGAATCATGCACAGCCCTTCTCAGCTACCTGTATGGGACCATAAAACAAGAGGATTTCTGGAAGCACCGGTTGGCACTGCTGGGTGCGGCAAACAAGTATGACATTGCAGATTTGAAGAATGCTTGCGAGGAAAGTCTCCTAGAAGACATCAACTCGGGAAATGTCCTCGAAAGATTGCAAGAGGCTTGGCTTTACCAGCTAAATAAATTGAAGAAAGGTTGCTTAACGTATTTGTTTGATTTTGGCAAGATTTATGATGTTAGGGATGAAATAAACAACTTCTTCAGACAAGCAGATAGAGATCTGATGCTGGAGATGTTTCAAGAAGTGCTCACAGTTTGGAAGCCCGCGTAACCTGATATGAGGTTTTTGTCCATATCTGTATATAATATAGATAACTCTAGCTATTACTAAGCTGTAGCTTTCTACGAAAGCCATGTTGTGTCTTACACTATTATAATCCGGTGTAAATTTGTGGTACTATTAAGTATGCTATCTGGTCAAAACGGAGATGATTAGTGTTCTGTGCTGGCATCTATTATGGGGGTTTTTCTTGTGATTGTTGTGTTAACACTTAAAAGATTGGTAGAAACTATCAAAGTACAAAATCCTTAGTAGAGAGTCGATCTAAAATTGTCCAAAGGAAAGAACCTCATGAAAGAGTTTATTTTGAGATATGGTCATCAACACTACAATCAGCAGCTTTCACAATGTTTTTGTATTTGGAAACTCCTGTCCAAGTATTCTAGAAGAGATTTTTTTTGGATCTTCTACTAGGGTGATTAGGAGTCGCATTGCATAACACTCAGCAGTATCTATAACTTTGAGCTCTGTATATTCTTGCCCAGACTCTAAAATGACATGAACTGTTTCATCAAGCTTTGCCAGTTGTTTGATTAGTACAACCACGTTAACTTGCTATAACTATATCTACAATTCATCTATTTGTACTTGAAGAAATTAAAACAAAGAAGTAGCCTCTTCAGAAAAGTAAGATTAAAATAGAACAGAATATCTGAAAATTAGTAACTTTGGCTCCTACAGCCATTGTTGTTGAATCTTTTATACAAAGAAAGTCCAGGTACTGCTAGATGACTTGTCTTGTTCCGTTAGTGCTTTCTGGTCATAATGTTCTTGTAATGACCATGCCATTTTCTTGATTGGAACCAGAAAAAACAACAAAAGGGGGGAATATTTTTGTTGTTTTGGGAAATTCCAACTCTTTGGAACATCACAAGAATAATATTTCAATACTGTCATACTGATACAACTTAGCTCAAACATCTAGCAGAGGTCATAAAACCTCTGATTCCATTTTGGCAAAAACAATAACTCTTAATTGAGAAAGGAGATCAGAATTTTTGCTATGACAAGGTAAAGAACCTAAGAAAATTTCTAAACCGGAGAAAGGGTCACGATAAGAATTATTGGTAGAGGGGTGTGAAAAAGGTTTCAAAACTGTACACGAACCTACAAAAATTTGTGTACAGCTATATCTCTACAAGGGGACTTTAGGCTGAAATCATCTCTTCTTAGCCATGCGGAACCAGATGCTCTGGTATCTCCTCACAAGAACAATTATGGAAGAGTTCCTCAGCAACTGAAGTTCGCCATGAACTGACGATTTAAGCTAGAGCGAAGAATCATCTTGAAAAGTAAAAACCCTGTACGTGGAATAGTTCTAGATTTATTTGCTGAATGGTAGCTGCTTTGCTCCACTGTCTACAGCATCTCTCCATATTCTATACCTCACACCTAGCTTATCGTAAGACACTGGCAGGTTCCAAATATTGGCGCCATTGAGCATGTGATCCTGCTGGCCCAACACAAGCCGTAGGTCTTCATTTAAAACCTGTATAAAATTCCACAAAGAGATAAAGTTAGAACATATCTTTCATTTTGCTCCTCTTTAGTTCTCTTTATAAAGGAAAAGTCTTTGCAGCATTATCCTCACTACGAAGAGAATGTGAAAACATCTTTTCTGGCAAGATTCTATTTCGGAAGTTCGTGTTCACAATTTTGTGGTTCTATTTTAGGCAATTGTATTTAACTTCCAAGAATCAAAGAGTTTGCAAGTCTAAACCCTCGAGATCTTGAGCTTCTAGAGCCGTGTGATGGTAATCCTAGATATTCAAGCTTTGATTTTGTTTCATACTATCATTTTTCCACGAATAACAGAATGCAGTTTTTCATAGAACAATCAGTCACTGACTGATGACTTCCATAAGATGTTAAACAGGCATTCTGAAAGCTTTTAGGACAGAATCTAACCTGTTCAGCAAAATGTCTCCAAACATATTGCATGAAAGGGATGTGTTTCAGCAGGGGAGCAAAATCCAGTGACATCCTATATAATAACCGTGTCTTGTGTCGTGATGCAGGTAAGCAAACATGAAGTTGATGAAGGTGTGTAGAACACTGCTTGGTACTCTGCCCCTCCAATTTGCCTGGCTTTGAGATTCCAATGGTTGATAAAACCATACAAGGTGGTCTAAATTCCATATCTATTGGATAAGGATCCCAATATCCTTGCAGACCAGATGCAGGAGTCAAAAACTTCACCAAGCTGAAATAAGGTAAATCATAAGCACAGAGACCTTCATATACCACACGATGCAAAACACTCCTTATGTTTTTAAATTGATAGTAAAATCAAGTCTTCTGCATAACTATATGAAAATAAATAGAAAAACAATCTCCTGTTTTAACGGCTATTGATGTATTACTAGACTTCTAGGTAATTAGCAACATATAATATAATAACTACTACCTTGGGACACTCCATCCTTTAGCAAAGGTTGATGTATGGGTGAAAGGAGCATGTGCAAGATCCAACAGATTGTCTAATAATAGCCCATGTTCCACTGGAAGTTCCATGACTATCTGTCAATTTCAACGACAACAGCTATAAGGCAAAAGTATTCAAGAATGAGCTGTAAGATATTCTTCCTATTAACAACTGAAAATCGAATGGCAGTGATTTCAAACCTCCGCATGGATTTGAAATCCAGAAGGCGGTAGTAAAGAAGGAAGGGTAGCTGCAGGGGGGTCATTTCCTGGCCAAATCCATATCATTCCCTCTTGCTCAAAGCAGGGCAGTGCTTTGATCTTTACATTCAGTAATCGTGTTGATGGCATTTTCTCACACTTGCCATCAGTCGAATATTCCCATCCTAAATTCATGAAAAGAACAGTGTCAGCTATTTCAATGTTGTGTCCATATCCCAAATAGGAACTCTGAACTGAAAGTAAGATTCTTCTTAATTCTCACCGTGATAAGGGCACTGAATGCGTCCCTCTTTCACTGAGCCAAGATCAAGGGGGCAGGCTCTATGTGCACATGTATTCTGTACACATCCAGGTTTTCCATCATTCCCGCGAAAGATCACCCATGGTTGCTCAAAGCAATCAATCGGTAACTGAAACATAACAGTTTATGGTCATCAAATACAACAGCCAGAAGAATTAACACGAGCATAAAACCCTAAAGTCACATCCCTATCTGAATTTACAGAAGAGCATGTTAATTGGTTTTGGCATCATAATTTTGCATCTACATGATTTTGTATGTTGAATCAAATGCTGCCTCTCTTTATGCGAGTGAGATTATTTCAGATAATTGACTCACCATGGTGTCATCCTTAAGATCTGCGGAGAAAGCAACAGGGTACCAAAAGTTCTTCAAACGGGAACTGTAATCTTGGACAGGACCTGACACACTCAAGGTTCTTCGGGGTTGCTTGCTTTTAACAGTATCCAATAATGCTGTTGACGTACTGGCAGAGGAGGACGGGCAATCTGATTCTGCCGTGCTTCTCTCTTGCAGAAGCCTATCATTAACCAACTCTTCCATGTAAGCTAGCTTATCCAAAGCAGCAGAAACCCGGGCCTCAGATATATGTACCTGTTGTATTGATACGTCAGATACAGAACTTTATACTTACGAAAATAAGCAAGATTATATAACTATCCATTTATATTTAAGAGGACTTGTTTCAATAAGTTTGACATATCAAAGGCAAATAGCCCTGAATATCCACCGGTGTTGAGAACTAGAAAAAAGAAAATGCAATTTGTATCCAAATATCATTCTGATAGGATAAGAATTTTCTATACCTGGTTGTGGGCCTGAGAAAGTTCTCCTTGCAACTCTGCAAGTTCCTTTTTCATGGTTCCAATAGATTTGTATTCGCGTGCTAGAGGGTTCAACACTTCCACAACCTATTTACATAATTTCCGCTAATCAGAACAAATGGTAGAAAACCATGATAACAGTGGTGGAGCCACCTTATGCGAAGGTCACACTGTTTAGCTAGGTCAAAAGTTTATTTTTATGCATATATACTATATGTTAAATCCCCTTATTTTCTTTTTATGCTCCGCTACTGCATGACGAGCAGGAAAATTTGAAACAAGTCTACAGAGGGTACAACAGGAGGGGGTGGAAAGGACACTCTAGTTGACAAGCAAAGAAAACAAGAGATAGGAGCGCTACAAATTTGTAGATAAACTTAGAAAACACAGTGAATGTTGTATTTACCAAGTTCAATTAAAGATAGGAAATAAATGCACATTAATTCAAAGACAAACCCTTTCATGCAGCAGCATGATTGTAAGTACATCTTGCCGAGCTCGCCAATCACAGTATTGTAGATCATATCTAGCAACTTGTAAAGCTTGATTTGCATCCAAGAATCTGCCTTTAATTTGTGGAACTTTAGACCTGGGATCTTCCACATTAAAGAGTGTCAACCAGGAACTTGTCTTATCTGGCATCCCACCCTCCTCCCCATATACTGCAAAAACTCCAAAGCTCCCTTTGACATACTGAGGATGAACAAGATGCAAAACCAGTCAACAATTGTGAAAATGCAAGTGATGTATGACTCTCCACAACAACAACACCTCAGTTCCAAACAAGTTGGAGTAGGCTATATGAATCCTCACTTCATCATTTAAGCTCAACGCATATCATCATCTACCAAATAAATTAGTACTGATTACACGACGCAGAGCTTATTCTTGCATATAGTCCCTGGAAATCAAATAAATTATTTCAACTATAGTGAAGAATCACAGCCACTAGAGTGAAGTAAGCTGTATTCACTAAGCTAGCAACCTATGTAACAAATCTTACCATCCACAAGATCACTAGTCAAAATTATTCCATTTTAGGAACTAAACATATTTCAAGCTATCAACCAATCAGACTTCACCAAATAAAGATCATGATCCTATCTGTTGTGAAATCTCTATATAGATAACCAACATCAAGAAATGATTTTTGTTTTCCTTTTTCACCATAATTTAAAAGGGTCTCTAGAAACAGGCTTAATTAAGACAAAGAAGCAAACTTTTCAATGTTGTGCAAATATACCCAAATGGATGAATAAAAAGAAAAAAGAAAGCAAAGGTACCTTTCTAGTATAAGACTTAGTAGAGCGGCACAAAGAGAAAGGAAGAGAAAGAGCAGTAGTAATGGCTGTCATGGCAAAAGCTGAAATTAAAAGATTTTTGTTTTAGTTCAAGAAACAACAACAACAGTAGAAGAAGAAGAGA